GCTTCATCTGTAAGATGCAGATAATAAGGGCACCTTACAGATGAGGAGTAGGGGATTAAATGAATTAGTAGATATAAAATATCTTGAGTACCTAGCACTTATGAGGGCTTCAATAAGTGCCAGATTCAGAGGCCTCTGGAGAGGGTATAAGACTATTTCACGGAATGTTTTGAGCAAGAAAAACAATCCTACAAAATCCAGGATTGTTCTGGATTCAGACTTGGGTAATGAAAAAGCAAATCAGTTGTTCTTTGATATAAACAAATTGATTGGCATTTATTGAACTTTTGCTTTCACATGTTAATCCAAGTGGCTTAAGCTTTTGCAGTGAATACTTCAACCATGTCTTTAAGAATAATATCAAACGGGTGCATGGGAGGCTCAGTCGGTTAAGAGTCCAACTTCGGTTCAGGTCATGATCTCACAGCTTGTGGGTTCGAGCTCCTTGTCGGGCTCTGTGCTGACAGCTAGCTCAGAGCCTGGAGCCTGCTTCAGATTCTGTATCTCCCTCTGTCTCTGACCCTCCCCTACTCACACTGTCTCTCTCTCTCTCTCTCAGAAATTAAAAAAAAAACAAAAAACAATAATATCAAACGGGAATAAAAAGAAAGAACAAAAACATCCAGAGAATGTTAACATTCTACTGTCTGCCGGTCCATCACAACAGTGCCAAACAATGTTACCACATTTAGTTGGGTAAGTTGTGTCTTGGAAGATAACATCACATCTAAGGGGGTGCTAGTCCCTGGTTAACACTGTTATTTATAACTTTATTGTGATAATATACCAGTAGATGGCAGTAAAGTGCCATGTTACTGCAAAATCAGTGCAACAATTTCAGAAAACCGGAAATAAAAGTACCTTGAAGAGGAGTTACTTCTACTTTGCGTAAAGGCTTGATATGGGCTAGCAATGGCTTGCTATTAGGAAAAAGATTAAAAAGTAGAGTGATAACTACACAATTGAAACAAATCAAAGAGTAGCAAGAAGTGACAAAAAAAAGAAATACTCTTGGGATTTAAAAACCTGTTTTTAAAAGTATTCTGAAATTATTAGAGTATCACACAAAGAGATAAAAATACACAAGTCATAAGTGTAAATGCTGATGAATTTTCACAAAGTGAACAACACTTGTCTACCCAACACCTAAATCAAGAAATAGAACATTACCAGCTCCACAAAAGCTCCCTTTCTAATCATTACCATGCCTCTGAGGGTAAACAGTATCCTTTTTTTTTAAAGACACATTTATTCAGCATCATGATCAAACTATTACATTTAGCAATCAACAGCATGGGTGCAAAAAAAAAACTACATTAAAACCCTTTTTTGGAATGCTTTACACTTTCCACAGAACAGAAACTAAAATAACCTGTTATACAATTAATCACAAATACAGTCCTTGAGTTTTTTTACCCATACACACAGTCTAAAACATGTCTTCTTTGTAGCAGCTAGGCTCTGCCACCACTGTGTTTGGCTAAGTTCACAAATCTGTTGTAACCTGTAGCTTTCCTGTCACTTCTCTGGCTCTCCTCTCCTGCTAAGCTCTGTTTCCTGGCAGTAATTAAAACCTTCTGCCACTGCCATAGCTACTGCTGCTGCTGGAACTGCCATAGCCACCTTGGTTTCATGGTTTGGCAAAGTATTGGCCTCTACCATCATAGGGGCCAGAGCTTCTGCCTCCAAAATGTCCTCCTTTCATGGGTCCAAAATTTGAAGACTGATTGTTGTAATTGCCAAAATCATTATAGCTTTCACCACCTCCAAAGTTGTTTCCATTGTTACCAAATCCGTTATAGCCATCCCCACTGCCACCATATCCACCACCACCTCAACTGTCACCAAAGCCACCACGCCCACTGAAGTTTCCTCCACGACCAAAGTTGTCATTCCCACCAAAACCGCCTCCACAACCACCACCGAAGTTTCGAGAACCACTTCGACCTCTTTGGCTGGACAAAGCACTAGCCATCTCTTGTTTAGACAGAGCTTTCCTTACTTCACAGTTGTGGCCGTTCACAGTATGGTATTTTTGAATGACAATCTTGTCTACAGAATCATGGTCGTCAAATGTTACAAAAGCAAAGCCTCTCTTTTTGCCCACTGCCTCGGTCAGTCATGATTTCAATCACTTCAATTTTCCCATACTGTTCAAAATAATCTCCTAGATGATGTTCCTCAGTGTCTTCTTAAATGCCACCGACAAAAATCTTTTTCACAGTTAGGTGGGCACCAGGTCTTTGAGAATCTTCTCTGGAGACAGCCCTCTTTGGTTCTACAACTCTTCCATCCACCTTGTGTGGCCTTGCATTCATGGCCGCGTCCACCTCCTCCAGAGTGGTGTAGGTGACAAACCCAAAGCCTCTGGAGCGCTTGGTGTTTGGATCTCTCATTACCACACAGTCCGTAAGCGTTCCCCATTGCTCAAAATGGCTCCTCAGACTCTCATCGGTTGTTTCAAAGCTCAAACCTCTGATGAAAAGCTTCCGCAGCTGTTCAGGCTCTTTGGGAGACTCTGACTTAGACATGACGGCGGTGGGAGGGGAGACTTTAACGATGCTTACTCGGGGAGTCCACGGGCAGAAAGGAGTAATCTAACGAATGTATCTGAGGGTAAACAGTATCCTGACCCCTAACTGCATAGGTGAGGCATACCAGGTGTTAAACTTTATGTAAATGGGATAATATAGAGTGTATTCTTTTTTTTTTAATTTTTTAAATATTTTACTTATTTCTGAGATAGAGAGAGAGAGAGAGAGAGAGAGGCAGTGTGAGGAGGGAGGGAGAGTCAGAGAGAGAGGGAGACACAGAATCTGAAGCAGGCTCCAGGCTCTGAGGTAGCTGTCAGCACAGAGCCGAACGCGGGGTTCCAACCCACAAGCTGTGAGATCATGACCTGAGCCGAAGTCGGAAGCTTAACAGACTGAGCCACCCAGGCACCTCTAGAGTGTATTCTTTTGAGTCTGGTTTCTTATGTTCAGTTTTGTTTTTGAGACTCATCTATATTGTTGCCTATGGTTGTGGTTTGTCCTTTTCATTGCTGTCCCTTTCATTTTATTATTTGAATATACCACAATTTATCCATTCTACTGGTGGTGAATTTCTACTTCAGGTCAATTTTTTAAAGTACTATACTGGGGCGCCCGGGTGGCTTAGTCGGTTGGGCGTCCGACTTTCGCTTGGGTCATGATCTCACGGTTCGTGGGTTCGAGCCCCGCGTCGGGCTCTGTGCTGACTGCCAGCTCAGAGCCTGGAGCCTGTTTCAGAGTCTGTATCTCCCTTTCTCTCTGACCCTCCCCTGCTCACCCTGTGTGTGTGTCTCTCTCTCTGCTAGAAATAAATAAAACATTTTTAAAAAAATAAATAAAGTACTATGCTGAATATTCTTACATTTTTATCACCTCAGAAAGAAAATTTGTACTATTTAGATATTGCTGTCCTCACCTTTCCTTGAGCAACGCCTAATTTACCTTCCATCTCTATAAATTTGCCTATTATGGATATTTCATATAAATATCGGTCACAATATGTAACCTTTTGTGTCTGACTTCTTTTACTCAGCGTGTTTCCAAGGTTCATTCATGTGGTAGCATGTATCAGATTTCATTCCTTTTTATGGCTGAATAATATTCCATTGTATAAATATACCATATTTTGCTTATCTATTCAACCATTGCTGGACATTTGGGTTTTTTCACCTTTTCCCTTTTGTGAATAGTGCTTCTATGAACATTGATGAACAAAGTTTTGTTTGAACACCTGTTTTCAAATCTTTGGGGTATATATCTGGGAGTGAAATTGCTGGGTCAGATGATAATTCTGATTATTAAAGAAATGTCAAATTGTTTTCCACAGCAGCTGTACTTTTACATTCTCACTAGTAAAATATGAGGTTTCCAATTTCTCCATATCTTCACCAACACTTATTTCCTTTTTAAAAAATGATTTTAAAAATATTATTATAGCCAACCTAGTAAGTGTGAAGTGGCATTTCATTGTGGTTTTGATCTGAATTTCCCTAGTGACTTAACGATATTGTGCATCTTATCATGAACTTATTGGCCATTTGAATATCTTCCTTAGAGAAAGGTCTGGTCAAGTTCTTTGCCCAACTTTTCATTGGGTTGTTGAACTGGAAGTGTGCTTTATATATTCTGGGTACTAGACCCAAAACCGTATGTTTCCAAGACTTGTCTGTTTTTAGCTTTTATATTTAGGTCTTTGATCCATTGTGAGTTACTATTTGTATGTGAAGGTGAGGTAAAAGTCAAACTTCATTCTTTTGTAGGTGGATATTCAATTGTACTAGCATTGTTTGTTGAAAAGACTATTTGTTCTCCATTGAATGATCTTGGCACCCTTGTCAAAAATTTAATTGCTCATAGGGGCACTGAGTGGCTCAGTCAGTTGAGCATCCAACTCTTGATTTCAGCTCAGGTTATATCCCAGGGTCTGGGGATCAAGAGCACATCAGGCTCTGCACTGAGCATGAGCCCTATTTATTTCTCTCTCTCTTTCCCTCTGGCTCCTTCCCCACTCATTCTCTCTCTTTCTCTAAAATACAAAAAATAAACATTAAAAGAATCAATTGATCATAGATACATAGGTTTATTTCTAGACTTTCAGTTCTATTCCATTGATATGTTCAGCCTCATGTCAGTACCACACTGTTTTGATTACTGTAACTTTGTAGTATTTTTGTTTTCACTTAAAAAACACTTATTTATTTATTTTTAAGTAGGCTCTAGGCCTGACATGGGGCTCAAACTTGTGACCTTGAGATTGAGTCACATGCTTTACCAACTGAGCCAGCCAGGCATCCCTATAGTAAGTTTTTAAATCAGGAAACTTCATATCTTAACCAAGATATGAAGGAAATACCCAAAATATCTAATTTAAGAAACAAATAGTAAACAAATTGCTGTGGCTGCTTTTGTACCACTTCACTTTCTCCCACTCCCCAAATAGCCAAATATAAATCAATCCAGAGCCATGGGTTAAGCAATAGTCTTTCTTTAATTCCCCTTTGCAAATGGAAGCCCCTGAGCTGGTCCCCACCCCCACCCCTACCCACAACTTGGGGCCCCCCAGATGCAAGGCCCCACCTCAACTTGGTGGGAGGAAGAGAGGAGCACCCTCTCCCCAGGATGGTCCATTTAAAAAGCCTAGTCACTTAAGAAATGAGGCTGGGGACAGGGGAAGGAAGCTGGAAGACAAGGTCCAGGTCAGGCCAGACTGGAGATGTTGGGGTTGTGAGGACCCTTGAGAAGGGTTTGCAAGCACATCTCTAAGCTCAGGGCCAGCATGGCTGAGGGAAAGGAGGCAGATAGTCTGACTCCTCAAGGCCCTGTCTTCCTGGTTGTGGACACTGACACTCACCACCACCGCCGCCACCACCACCACCACCAGTACCATCACCACCACCACCACAGGCCTCTGGATAGAGAGTTTTCCAGTTACTCTGGGATAGGGTTTGTTAAGCATCCCCTCTGGCCCATGATCTGGGGCATCCTTGGGGTCCCCCTGAGACCAAACCTGGGAGAAGGAGGGACTCTAGGAACATGCAAAGGGGGGGAGCAGAGACCCCCGCCCCACCCTGCTGCTCTACAGGATGGTGGCTCCAGCTGCATCTGGGCTCCGAGGGTCCTTCACACCAATGATGAAGTTGTTGGTTCTCCGGCTGCCATGGACCCAGGATAAGACATCTACCTTCTCCACATGGTGACCCCTGGCTTCCAGGAACTCAATCTCTTCCTCTGTGAACTCACCTGAAAACCATCCCCCAACATACACACATTCAGAGTGTTCAGAGCACTGGCTCAGGAGTCCTGTGGTCAGACCTGAGTCATGATCCTGGATGCCCCACTGAGGAGCTGCATGACCTTGGGCAAATTGCTTTACCTCTCTGAGCCTCAGCCTCCTCATTCATAAAATAGGGATTATATGAGAACAACATGTGAAGTTGTTGTGGGGATTAAAAGAGATAATACACAGAGAGCACAGAGCTTAGAACCTTGCATATAGTACATGATCAATAACACACAGTCATTCTTAATATTGCAAAAAGGACTTTGGGCTCTTCATTTCCACCTGCCTAGGCCAAACTGCCATCATTACTTGCCAGGATAGCCAGGATGCAACCATTACTACATATCCCACTGACTGGTCTTTCTGGTTCCAGTCCTGCTTTCATACAGGCAAAAGGAATCCTTTTAAACCATTAGTCAGACCACTCACCTCCCCTTCTCAAAACTTCCCAATAGCTTAGATGACTCTTAGAATAAAACCCAAAGTCCTTACCAAGGGCTCTAAGGCACCTGGGACCTCACTACCTCTCTAAACTCCTGTCCTCACTTCCTTCTACTCTCTCCCTTGCTTACCTCTGCTTTAGCCTCCTTGCTGTCCCTCAGGCAAGCCAAACATGCTCCTACCTCAGGGCTTTGCACTTGATGTTTTGTTTGTTTAGAATGCTCTCCACCAAGATAGTCATGAGACTGGCTTCCTTACTTCATTCCAATCTTCAAGGAGAACTTCCCTGACCACTATCTAAAATAGCAGCCCTGCCATCTTTACCTTCCTTTATTTTCTTTCAAAGTACTTCTTGCTACCTGTTTGTTTGTTTACTATGTCTCTCTCCATTAGATTATAAGCTGCTCGAAGGCAAGGATGTTGTCTTGTTCATTATTGATCCTCAGTGCCTAGAACTGGGTGAGGACATAGCAAATGTTAAACAAATATTTACTGGATAAATGAAGAAATCCCTACCCTTTTATATAAGTTCAGGTCCTCACTGTCTCTTGCCTGGCCCATTATCCTAGTTGCTTCTGTTTCTCCAATTTAAATTCTCCCCCCTTCAATCCACTTCCCCTCCATAAAACATATCAGGTCTATTCCACCTCTATTCAATCCATGCTTCTTAAATGGACCTCCATGATAAGCCCTGTAACCTCACTTCCTACTGCTCCTCAACAAAGATATGGTTTTCTTATTTCCTCAAATGGGATTATCTAGGGTAGTTCTTGAGGTAAAGATACAATACTGAATAGCATTGAATCACTGAGTCAGAAATGTATTTCCTTTATGGGTCCCTTTCAATCCTTTGGATAATGGCAAGGACTAAGTTTCAGTCTGGCCTCTAACATTTCTTTCTTTTTTAAAAAAAATTTTCAATGTTTATTTTTGAGACAGACAGATAGAGTGCAAGTGGGGAAGGGGCAGAGAGAGAGGGAGACACAGACTCTGAAGCAGGTTCCAGGCTCTGAGCTGTCAGCACAGAGCCCGATGTGGAGCTTGAACCCATGAACCATGAGATCATGAGCTGAACTGAAGTCAGACACTTAACTGACCGAGCCACACAGGCACCCCTGGCTTCTGACATTTTTAATCTCCTTTACAGATAGAGCAGGCCCCAGAGACTTCTGGGGCAACAATATCCACCTAAAATCTAAAAACAGTTGACTTTTTATAGCTACTTACCTTTTATTTATGGCAAATGATGCTATTTCTTCCATTTGTGATTATGATATGAGATTTACCTTTAAAATACACTTACATTGAAAAGGAAGCCCATGTATAGATACACATACGTAAATAACAGTTTAGATGGTATGCAAATATGGCAAAATTCAAGAAGGTGCTGGATAAATTCTTAAGTTTAGGAAATAATATCTCTAGTCCAGCAGGCCTCCTGGCTGTTCTCTGAACCATTCTTTTTGGCTTTTGCCCATTTGTCCAGAAGGTTCTTTATCCCCACATGCCAAATTCCTGCTCATACTCCAATGCCCGGTTAGTTGTTACCTCCTCCATAAAGCCTCCCAGGAACCCCAGTAGATGAACTTTCCTTTGGCCAAGCCTACTCCTCATGTTCCTGTCATAGACCATGAGCTCCTTAAGGGCAGGTAGGATGAACCAAACCCCTCCACACCCAAATAACTTAGCGTACAGCCTCACATTCAAAAGACACCAGAAGTTATTGGTTGGGATAGCCTCATTATCATCATCTGGGATCCAGAGTGTCACCAGCCAAACCACAGGGTGTGACTGCTGAGGATTGGGTCTTTGGCTTCTAAAGTGCTTCATGCTAGGAGACAGGCAGTAAAGAACTAAGTTTTTGGTATCAGCCAGATATCTATTCTAATCTCAGTTCTGCCACTTACTATTTGATCTTTGACTACTTTATAACCTCTGGGGGCCTCAGTGCCTTTATCTATAAAATGGGGATAATAATACCGAGCAGGCAAGGACCATGTCTCATTCAATGCTCTATCCCTTTTGTATTTGTATAATACATTGTCTGTTGTAATAAAAACACCTCAAACCTGCACATACTTCCCCACTTACAAACTTAGGCTGTGTCTGGGTACCTGGGTAACTCAGTAGGTTGAGTGTCCAACTTCAGCTCAGGTCAGGATCTCACAGTTCATGGGTTTGAGCCCCATGTCAAGCTCTGTGCTAACAGCTCAGAGCTTGGACCCTGCTTCAGATTCTGTGTCTCCCTGTCTCTCAGCCCCTCCCCTACTCAAGCTCAGTTGCTCTCTCTCTCTCTCTCCTTCAAAAATAAACATTAAAAAATTTTAAAAACAAAAAACAACAACAATAACAAAAAACGCAAGATTAATCTGTGTCTACAATTAAGCCCCAGTCATTTTTAAAGGAAGTCCGTTTTCTAACCATAACCTGTAAGGTCCATGATGTGGCCTCTGCTTTCCTCTCTGATCTCATGTCACTTGCACTCACCCCAGTCTCCTTTCTACTCCTAAAACATGCTGAGCCCATTCCTGTCATGAATTGCATCTGTTCCTTTGGCCTACAAAACCTGCCCGTTCTTTGCATGGTGGGCTCCTTCTTACTCTTCAGATATTGGGCTTACATGTCACCCAAGAGAAGCCTTCTCGAGTCATCACATAAGCCCTATAGTCAGTCCACAGAGCATGTATTTTGCTTTCTCATATTTCTTTATTTCTTTTCCTGTCTGCCTGTAAATGCCATATCCTCAGTACCTAGGATAATACGTGGCACACGGTAGGTATTCAATACAAACTACTGAATGAATAGTTTGCAGACTGAACAACTGTATCTTATTTTACAAATGAGAAAACTGAGGCTCAGAGTGAAGACATGAATTTCCCAAGGCTACACAGCCCAGAAATGACAGAACTGGTTCCAATCCCCAGATCTTTCACTGTTTCAAAGGAGTTCATTGGAAGAAACCAACCTTTCACTGGTAGGGAGTTGTGCTGGTATAGGCAGGGGAACCCTTGGGAGGAGCCCCCTTCTCCACCTAACCCTTTGTCCACCCCATGGGGATCTCTGCTCTGCACTCACTGTCCACCTGCAGGAGGTTAGACTGCAAGTCTGGATGCAGACGGCCATGGGCCAGGCTGTCGCTCAGGTTCCGGTTCAAGGTCAGGACATTCAGCAAAACCTGTGGGCAGCCAAGAGGTAGAAGTCAGGGCTGCCCCAGAGATGGAGATTCAGGACTCCCCAGTCTCGCTCCTGGGCTAGACTTCTTACTCTTTAGAAACCTTACACTAGTGAACAGCCCCAGAAGAGAGGCAGGCCTGTGATGGCCATCTCCATTTCAAAGAGGGGAAACCAAGAGCCAGAAAGGGAAAGTAAATCACTCCAGAGTTTAGAGAGCTCCAAGGAAGAGGTACCACTAGCAGTCAGTCTCCTATAATCCAGCCTAGGGCTCTCTTTCCTTTTCCCTGTCAAGGACAGGGTTAATAGCTGGGGATGGTCTAGGGCACAATGGGGGGTACTTTTAGCTTAGTGGTTAAGAGTGTGGGTAGGCTCTCAAACCAAACTGCCTGCCCATTCTTAGTAAACTGGACCTAACTTCTTAACCTCTCTGAGTCTTAAGTTTCCTCATATACAAAGTAGAAATAAAGATTCTTTCCAAAGTTGAGAAGGCTAAAAGAATTCACACACGTAACCCCACTCATGGCACTTAGTAAGAATTCTATAAATGTTAGCTCTTGTTATTATCTTCATTTTACAGATGAGGAGACTGAGGTTCAGAGAGATTAAGTGAATTCCCAAAATCACACAGTTAGAAATTGGTAGCACTTGGGCTGGGGCCAGAGCTGTCTGCTTCCAAAGCTCAGGCTAGTTAACTCACCACCTACCAAGGTATGTGCCTGGCACATATATCAGGTGCTCAGAACATCTGTGTAACTGTTGCGAGACATTTTGGAGAAGTGTAGGCCCTTCCTTTCAAAATCAGACCCTAAAGAGGGTTGCTTGTCTATTCAGATACTGAATAGAGGCATCATGGAACTTGAGGTTGACAGAACCTAGGTAGCCTAGATGCTATATCACCTTTCAGTTCCAATGGCCCATGATTTTCCATCCAATATGGAAGATGGAAATTTAGGGCTCCATTTTGGCTAAGTAACTCAGCATAGCCTATGTCCCCATGATGAGCTTATAACAAAGCAGACTTGCCCGATGTTTGCTGAGCTGGGGATGAAAACAAGACAGAGACATGAAGGCCACCTACAGTCCAGACTACAGCTTAGCTGCTAACCACAAAGGGCCTACCATGGAGGAAACCTCACCTGGGTCAGGCCGCTGAGGCCTCGGGCAGCTCCATTGGCCCCCAGTGCGAGGTAGGTCCCACAGAGCCCCTCTGCCGGCCGGACCACAGTGGGCAGCAGGAAAGACAGTGGTCGCTTCCCTGGCTGCACCGAATTCTCCTGTGTCAGAGGACCGAGACCACAGGGGGATAACAGGTGGGGCAAGTTTTCATGGGAGACTGGTCCCTTCCCAGGCCACAGTTTGCTGTCTGTGAAATGGGCAGGGTTCCTGGGTAACTAGGGTGGACTGTGGCCCCACTGAGTTGCTATGGAGCTACCATGGGTGGCAAGGGAGGGGACCAAGTCAAGAAAGATGGCCAAGAAGAACAGGATAATTTCCACCCTAGTCATCTCTATCTGTCTTCATACTGCCAGGGCCCCAGCTCGTAGGGTGTAAGAGTACTGGCCTCCAACTAGACCATCTTTCCTATCTCCTTCCTCTTTTGACCAACCAGAGGGCTGAGTCCCATCAGCTTAGCATCACACAATCGTAGACCATTGTGCTGAAAAGTGCCAAAGCATCAAATGGGGGCTAATATCCTTATTGTACAGATGAAGAAACTGAGGCCAAGAGAGGGGTCAAGACTTCCTCTAGGTCACATAGTGAAACAGGGGCAGAATGGGATGAGGTTTCTTCAGGCCCATGAGGCTCCAAGCCCCAGACTTGGGCTGGGAATGAAGTGGAACACCTTGTTTTAGGTTCCTTTTCTTTATACTTTAAGTTCCTAAAGTAGGGAGGGAGTGGCAGCCATTCTACTACACCTTCTACCTAGCTTCAAGGTTCCCAGGGGAGTAGGGAATCAAGGTCCTACCAGGCTGGGAGCAGAGTGGTTAGCAGTCCTGTTGGGCCAGGAGAAGTCTAACATCTGGCTGTTGAGCAGGATCCCGGAGGGAGTGATGAGGCCACTGCCAAAGGGCCGGTTCAGGGAGCTGGGGGTGGAGGTTGGGGCCAGGTGAGCCCTGAGGCCACTCTCTCCCCCATCAAGCCCCCAACTCTTCCTGACCCAGACAATCCCCAGTGCCAGGTTCTGAATCTGAGCTGGCATACCTGACCATGGCCACGATAAAGTCATCAGGGCCCATGATCAGCACCTGGGCAGCCGTGGGAGCCCCGTCCAGCTCATAGACAGGCAGGAGTGGAGCAGGAGCTGCCTGGGAATCATTGATGTGGCCCCGGAGGTAGGCGGCTTCCACCTTGCTGAAAAGACAAGGGGTAGGAGATGAATACACAGCAGGCTCTCATTTACACCCCACCTACCACTTTGTGATGTCTGCCTCCCCCACTGGACTATTAGGTCTATGAGAGCAGAATCTCTTATTCTGAGTGTATGGGAAATATCCAGGAAAGTGTTATTGGGCTGACTGAATTTATTTAGGTGTCATTCAGAGTCCCTTCTAGAGCCAACTTTTATTTACTTGCTTAAATCAAGAGTCTTTTAGTTACTTGACTTCATTTACTCACTTAATCCCTTCCTTGAAAGTACCTGGGGCATAGTGGATGCTCACATAATATTTGTTTTGCATGAACAAACAGAATTTATTTAACCTAATTATTTTTAGTTTAGAATTGAAGTTTTATTAAGAGTTCAGTCAGAGGAGGGTTTTATATACAGAGATCTTTAATTACTATTAGAATTTTGTAGGAGAAGACTTGGCACATAAGCCCTTAATAAGTATTTATTGAATGAAATTACTTGAATGAATTTAAAATAGGTGTGTGTGTGTGTGTGTGTGTGTGTGTGTGTGTGTGTGTCAGAGCTAAATTGAACACAACATGCAATTCTCCAGACTTTTTAAAGTTTGACAGAGGGTTTCTTACTTAATAACTTAATAACTTTCTTACTTAATAACTGTTGGTTTGGTTATTCTAGTTGATTAGAGGATGAGAAGTTACCAAGGATTACTGAAGATTTTCATTCAGCTTTCAACCATAAAGCAGAGGGCTTTGTTTCAGGTGGATTGTGAGGGCAGAGAGGCTTTGGTTTTAGACTTCACCCTTGTGAAGACTTTTTAGACTTCACCTTGTTTTTAGTTGCTGCTCTTTTTGCTTTTTAAAGCTGTTCATTTGGTTTCATTGTCTCCAACTTAATTCATAGAGTTGTTTGAGTAATAATACAAATTCATGTTAAGTATATTTTTGGTTTCTGATTTTTTCCTTAGCTAGCCTTTTGGTCAGGCAGAGCTGCTGGTTACGTAGTAACCATTCTCACCCACCCCTATTGCTAGTTACTACTAATATTTGTTGAATACTTATTATGTGCCAATGTATTCAGTGCTTTGCATGTATGACCTTATTTAGTCTATACCACAACCTCATGTGGTTGGCACCATTATTGTCAGACCCTCTTGTGGAAACAGACTTACAGAATTTATTTATTTATTTATTTTATTATTTTTTTTTTTTTTCCCCACGTGTCTGCAGACTTACAGAATTTAAATTTGTCCAGTCCTGCTCAGCTAGTGACTGTCGAAGCTGGGATCTGAACTGAGTCAGTCTGACCAGGGCCCATAGTCTTACAACATTATTACAGCATAATGTATGTTCTAATGTATAATGTATAATGTAAAAATTCCCATCACCTCCAGTAATTGGAAACTTTTCATTGTTATTAGGCTTTCTTTTTCCACTCCAAAGGGGGCACAGATGGGCCTACATAAGTGCCCTGCTAGGGTCAAAAAGTTTTGAGGGCCAACTCATTGACAGTTGAGGAAACTGAGGTAGGTACAGGGTGAGGCAACCAGTGTCACACTATGACTTAGAGCTGAGCTGAGATGGACTTGGGACTCCAGGTCATCCTGCTCTACCAGCTGCTTTTCATCTGATCCTTTCCTCACATCCACCACCACTTCTGCAGCCCTGAGGGTCCTGCCCTGGGACCCACCTGAGCATGTCATCCATGCTCTCAGTGATGGTAGAATCGTAGACAGGATCTCCTAGTCTGCTGGCCAGGGCTAACGCGATCTTCAGGGTCTGAAAATATAATAGGGGTGTGGAAGAGGCTGCCAGCGTCCTCCCAGGACTCACACTAATGATCCTCATGTGAGAAAACCTGGAGGTGATTTAGTCTGGCCCCACGGTAGTACCCCATCCCCCTACTCCCAGTGTACCAAGACCCAGGGCAGGGTGGAGGGGTCGGCCTTGCCTCTGCCACCCAGTGAAGAGCCTGCTCCCGGGACACCAGGGTGGTGAGATTGAAGCCTTCGAGGATGTTGAGAGCACTGATGAGAGCAGGCCCTGTATGCGGGGGTGGGGGGCTGAGAACCAGGTGGCCTGGAAAAAAAATGGAAATGACTAGATGGCAGGGGAGGGGTCAAGGCATCTCCACATCCTATCACATAGGCTGAGGCCACTGCACTGAACTCCTCATCAGACAGGGAAACTGTGCTGACAGGCAAAGCTTTGAGAGGCAAAGGGACCCACACAAGTTCACATGGCAAGTCAAGGGCAGGGCCAGGACTCCAACTCAGAACACTGGTCTTCAGTTTCCTCTTCTGCACAAGGAAACTAAGGCTCAGGAGAAATGTAGTCTGCCCAGAGGCACACTGCAGGCAGAGCAGGGACAGGTGTCCAGATGCCCAGAGTCCTGGTCCACCACAGGTCTCCTATTAGCTCCTCCCACAGACCAGGATACTATTCAGGGCCCATCGTGGTCCCACCCCTAAAACTTCTTGGGAGCAGCAACCTCCTCTTCCTATTTGAGGCCCCTGTTATTAGATGTTTGGACATCAAAGGAATAATGATAATACCTGACATGTAACATTAACTGATTAAGTCACTTAATCCTCACAATGGGTAATGTTATCATCCTCATTTGACAGGTGAGGAAACTGAGGCACAGAGAGGCAGCTGGTCCAAGTTAATAAGAGACAAGCTCAAGGTACTGGCATTGAAAAGAGAACCCAGGCTGGGGAGGGGATATGTAAAATCAAATAAATATTCAGCATCCATTCTGATCAGGGCAACTTCTGACATCACCTCATCGAATTTTCATGGGCACCTCACGAGGTAGGCACTATTATTATTTCCATTTTAAGGAGGAAACCACAGCTCACAGTGGGAAGTGACTTGTTCAGGGTGAATGGGAGAGCTGGTACTCAAACCCAGGTCTTCATACACCACCACCTCTGGTAGAAGAATCAGGCTAGAAATTGAGGCCTGGAAACCTGAATTCAGAGGTAACCTCTCCTGGTTCAGGGTGATCTCAATCTCCTAAAGGGGAGAGAACTTCAGAACCTTCTGAGGGACCCAGGAACCCACCACTGTGGATTCAACAAACATGGATTGCACCCACGTCATAGGCTTGGCTTTCTGGGTTCCTCTGGTTTTGAGTTTGGCAGGTTAAGTTCCATTCTGTCCCTGGGCCTCAGTTTCCTTTTGACACAATGAGGGGACAGGTTTATAATTGTCTTCAAAGGTTTGCTCAATATGAAGCTACGTGGACTCTGGTCTTATGAATTCTTCTTAGGAAGTACATGGCAGTAAGAGTGGGCCTGAGGCAACACAGAGCCCAAATCAAGAAAACTTATGGCCAGAATCCCAACTTCCAGGCCTGAGCCTTTGACCAGACCTCCCTCCCCATATCCTAAATACTTGGGGTAACTGACCCCATGACTATTTCAGAAGGTGAGCTGGCTCTGGCTTCCTTCAACAGTTGGCTGGCCAGGCAACTCACTGCCTCAGTTTCTCTCCTGTAAAATGGGAAGGAATCTCTAGGCCAAAAGGAGGTGGCCATGGACTGGGAGGCTTCTCCTGAGCAGGGACCCTGAGAGTTGGGAGAGAGGTCACCTCTGTATACACCACACACAGGATTCTCCACGAGGGCACTGTAGTTGCTGAAGTCCTCCTCAGTTATGACACCACCTGCATGCTGAGCCTAGAGGGGAGAGAATGACCCCATCACATCTGTGAGTCGCACACCACAGTACAAGTCACACACCACAGTATAAGCATGTGGACTTGTCCTATGGTATATGTTTGGAATCAAAGACAGATCAGATGTTTATAACTTTTGTGCCTTCTGCAATTTCCATCATGGCCCTTAGGGACCCCATTAGCCCTTGGGACCCTAGGGAAAAGAAAGGGGGAAAAGCACTAACACTGAGCACCTGCTATGTACCAGACATTCTATGAATGACCTCCTTAGATTGACATTCAAGGTCCTTTGTGACATGGCCCCTGTCCAATGCTCCCCTCATGTCCTGCTATTCCGCAGTGAGCTCTGTACAGCTACCTGAGTGAAATATAGTTCCTGAACTCATGACTCCGTGGACTTGCACATACTACCCTCTCTGCCTACATAAAAGGAGCATTTTCTGGGGCACCTGGATAGCTCTGTTGGTAAAGCCTGAAACTCTTGATCTTGGGGTCCTGAATTCGAGCCCCACATTGGGTGTAGAGATTACTTTTTAAAAAAGGAATATTTTCTACTTAAAGCAGAATTTGCCTATAAGATATCAAAACTGAATTCTGCATTTCACTACAATTAACTAAAGTCACTCCAAAGCCATGAACTCTGGATGATTCTAGTAGGAATGACCCTCAATGGATGCAACCAAGCACTCTATTGACCAATGAACCAAAAAATCCATGGGCTCATTCCATCCTTTCCAGCATGGTAATTTTCATTCCTAAATTAGCATAACCACTAGGAATTCTCTCTCTCTCTCTCCCTCTTCTCTTGCTCTCGCTGTACTTTTTAGTACTTGAAACTCTTGACTTCTAATCCACCCTTGGTTAACTACACATTGAATTTCTACACAATGAAGTTCTACACATTAAACTAAACACACATCATATGTGTTCCTTTGTTGGTCAAATTTATAAACTCAACTTTGGTGTGTTTTTTTTTCTTTTAAAGCTCTGAAGCTCTGATGGTCTTTGTTAAGAGTCTCTTTCATCCCCTTCTCCAGTAGATCCAGGTCCAGCTAATCAGAGCATTCCTTTTCCGTGCCAGTGACTAGTTTGGGAATCATCATGAGACCTATGACAGGCCAATGAGATACAACCTGGAGGTTTTTGCTGTAACTTTTGGAATGAGAAGGGCTCTTTCCCTGGGATGGCTTGCTGGAAGGATAGCTGGTGAGGAGTAACTGTGGAAAGGATCTGACAGAGAATGAACTCAAACAGAAGAAAGTAGAGTCATAACAGAAAAACAGACAGACAGACCAAGGCCTGATAGTGTGGATAGAGCTGTGGGCCCAGCAGACCTAAAGCCAGTAGTCTGCTGGACTTCCCAGTTAAGTCCATTTGAGATGGGCATCTATCACATAGCCATACCTCAGTGCCCAGCACAGGGTATGGCATGGAACAGGCACTCTGTGAATGTAGAATTAATGACACACTTATTCAATTCCTATAACTGTAAGGCAGAACTAGATACATATAATGAGTCCAAGGGTACGGATGAGAGAATCACAGAGTTGGTGTGTGTATCCTTATCTTGAAAGTAATTTTCAATTAGGAATTTTGAACTACTGACAACAGTTCTTAGAACCCATTACTGCCTCAGACTAAGAATCTCTGGGGTTGGTTGGCAAGCCCTGTGTCAATATCTCTAGTCCTGATAGTCATCAGTGAAGGAGGGGTTTCCCTCAGTCCCTAGAAAACCCAAGAGCAGGGTGAGCTTGTGGGCTCAAGGAAGCTGAGGCTGATCCTGGGTCTCCACCAGGCCTGGGAGAGACAGGACAAGACTATGGGATGGCACCAGCCCTGGGAGGCCTGAGCGCACCTCTTTCAGTCAAGACAGAACAGTTCCATCATCCCAGCGAGTTCTTTGTGCTGCATCCCAGTAAACTGCTCTCACCCCAAACAACCACTTATTTGATTTCTACCACCACAGATTGTTTTTGTCTATTCTACAATCTCAAGTAAATGGAATCCCCAGTAAATATATATAGAAAGAAAGATAGAGAAGGAAGGAAGGGGAAGTATATCCTGCAGTAGGGTCCTTCAGGGTAAGGGGAGCTCCCCACATGCTCACCTCAGCCACCATCTCCAGTGTAAGGTTGCCTCCTGCGTAGAAGGCGGCGGGGCCAGAGGTGCCCAGCACATCCAGCACTGTGGCCAGGTCAGGCCGACGCAGCAGTGAGCCAGGTAGTGGCGGGTGGCCCAAAGGCAGGAATGTCTCACGGAAACGCTCAGATGCATTGGGTGGAGGCTGTTCAGCCAGGGCACGGGCTGCAAGCAGAGAAAGGAGGGTGGGTGGGGGCTGAGATGCACCATAGGTGAGGTGGCTAACTGGCTGGTCGTAAGAGTTCTGGCTCCCCAGGAGCCTGTTATGAGGAAAGTGGGGGGTGTACATGGGCTCTTCCCAGATCCCCTCATTTGAGGCTGCCTCCCTGTGAGGGTAGGATGGTGGGGAGGGAGCCAGAGTTGCAAACTGGGAGAGAGGTGCTTTTTGGCTTGGGCCCCAAATCTCAGAGGTTCCCTCTCCCCTTCCCATCAAACTCATGACTTTCCCCCCACCCTCAGTCCCCACTGACCTAGATCATGAGTCACGTTGAAGCCATCTTGGGCCACAGCTGCTGCGAAGGCCAGGACTTGGGACCATGGCAGCCTGGGGGGGCCGGAGAGCAGGGGGTGGAGGAGGTCCTGGGGGGAGGAGGAGGAGGGGTCCTGGGGGAAAGGGGGTTCCTGGGAAGGAGAGTCCTGGCAAGGGAAGGGGATATTAGGAGGGGGAGTTGGGAAGGAAAGAATCCAAGGAAGGAGAAGGCCACCCAAGGAGAGATGCAGGCAGGGGGCCCTGGTCCCCAGAGGGAGGGTTTTTACCTGCCATAGAGCTGGTGAGCTTCATGTAGCCCCTTCACCATTCCGGGGACCCCCACCAAGAGCCCAGGCTGAGTGAGGCGGGCAGGCGAGGGAGAGAGGAGACCAGGTCACTGGAAGCGGGGGGGCTGGGCTGAACTCCGCAGAGCCCCAAGCCAGGGATGGGGGCTGGCACAGGGGAAAGACACAGGCCAAGTATCCCAGAGGAGGGACAAGCTCTCCCCAGCAGGCATCCCTCCCATTTCCCTGACTTACTATCAGCAAATGCAGAAAGGCTTCCTTTATCTATCATAGTTGCAGGGATTTATAAATTAAGTAAAACTTCTTAAGAGCCAAGACATAACCAATTTAGATAGAAACCTGTCTACATTGGATTATATCTACTCTTACCCTTTAAAATAATGGACAAGGGACTTTCATTTAACCTTTTCATTATCATACCACCATTACTCAGCTGTGATAACTCAGGCATGTGTTTGGCTTTTATCACTGTACCAAATAACTATTGTTCCAAATTTTTCTATTTCCTCCTTTGATCTCAGTGGATAGTGGGTTTGCCTTTAGCAGTTCCTCTTTAATCTTCCAATAGGTCATGGGCTGGGAAAGTTACAGCCATCAAGCTTAGAATGGGAAGTATGAGTTATAGTGCGGGAACTCAGGCTCCTCAGGTTTCCAGATAGGTGAGGTTGCCAGAGAAGTAAGGTGTTGTATATTGCCTGTTATCAACCATCCAGATCATTTGGTTCATTACTTTATTTTGGGAGCTGCCTCTCTTTCTCATAGCTTTTAGAGCATCTTGCTTAACTCTTCCTCATTTCCACTATAATTACTCAGCAAAGTAATGTTTGGGTTAGCAGAAGGGCAGTGAAGGGAGACGCCCCCCCCCCCCTCTTCTCACCAGCATCCCCACCTTGGTTTCCCAGGATCTCTGCAGGGCCTCTTCCCTGAGGGCCCCTGGTGCAGACTCCCGGAAATCAATTAGGTGGCTCTCATTTCGTCGGATGTCATGTACCAGCATCACGCCGCCACTGGGAGAGGCATAGAAGGGGGAGGTTGATAAGATGCTACCCCTCTAAACAATTAACCGGCCACCCTTCAACCCCCAATGGTGATGGCTGTAGGTTAAATCTGTCATCTGGAGTCAGATGTCTGAGCTCTCTCCCCAGCAGGGATTCAGAGACTCAGCCTCTGTTAAGAGGGTGGGGAGTGAAATCAAGGGGGTTGGGGATGCAGAGACCATGGACCTCTTCTAGCCTGTTACCGGAGACTTTAATCCCTGATTAGGGAAAACCCAGAGACTGGAAGAGCAAGATGTTCTACCCCCTGCCCCCACCCCAGACCATAGCTGGACCCCTGCCAGCTTCCTGCACCTGCCTCCATGGTATATGCCTCAGCCCCCTCTCCCAGGACTAAATTATGTAAGGACACTCTGTATACAACCATAATAGGAATTTCTTTGGTGGGGCCTGCAGGGCTGGTCTTGCAGGAGCCAAGATGCGGACTTTGTCAGCTTGTCACCTTTCTGTGACTTGTTTCCATCTGAGATGGAAGTTGCATCTGAGATGTTGGCCTGCAGCCAAGTAACATAATAAAGAAAGCAGGACAGATAAACAATAGGGAGTGGTAGGCATTATGGCCGAGTAGACTCATAAGCCCCATCATGCTATTTAGCTCCAGATAATTGTAGCCATGTGGGAATGTGGGCCCTGTGTTACCAGGGCTCCTTATTGTTCAAGAGATGTTGGAAATCTGGAGTTTTATGAAAATTCTCAACTTTTTAACAATAGCAAACAAATTTTAAAAACTTAAGTGTGGGAGGCGCTTTAGTAGCTCAGTCAGTTGAGTATCCGACCCTTTGGCTCAGGTCATGATCTCTCAGTTTTTGGGTTCCAGACCCATGTTGGGCTCTGTGCCTGCATGGGATTTTCTCTCTCCCTCTCTCTGCCCCTTCCCCACCTCTCAAAATAAATAAATAAACATTAAATATTAAAATTTAAGTGTAGAAACCAAACTTGTCTGTGTGCTGGTATGGCCCATGGGCTGCCAGTTTGTAATCTCTGTTTTAAGAATTCTTAGCCTGGGGGCACTTGGGTGGCTCAGGTGGTTAAGCTTCAGACTTAATTTCCGGTCAGGTCATGACTTCACACTTCGTAGGTTCAAGCCCCACATCAGTTTGCCCTGACAGAGGGGGAGACAGTTTGGGATTCTCTCCCTCTCCTTCTCTCTCTGCCCCTCCCTACTCTCTTTCTCTCTCTCTCTCAAAATAAATAAATAAACTTTAAGAGTTCTCAGCCTGGGGTATATTTTTGGAAGATAGAGGGTCCATAGCTTTCATCATGCTCATAGGGATTTGTTTTGAGGATTTGTAAACCCAAAAATTAAAGTACCCTTGTGTTAATTAGTGACAGTATACCCCAACTAGTGCACCTTATAGTTTACAAAAGCCTTTTTCCAGTTAAAACAAAGCAAAACAAAACAAAAACAAAACAAAACCCTTCTGAAAATACCTCTTCTGACTCCATGTAAGAAGGGGGTAAAATTGGATGTAGAAAGGCAAAATGCAAGGAGTTGGGACCCAGCTGCCCCTCTAGTGAAACTCAACACCCCCTCCCCCACCCTCTTCCCCCAGGCCTACAGACCAAGACACAGAAGTAGGCTTGGGGACCCCAACTTCCACAACTGTGAGCTCCTTACCCGCCCAGGCCAGAACTGTGTGGAGCCACGATCCCCAAACACAGGGCTGCTGCCACAGCGGCATCCACGGAAGATCCCTGTTTACTGAGCACCTCGATGCCCAGTGATGTGCAATGGGCAGCATCAGTCACCACCGCACCCTGGTGAAAGATCTGGGAAGGGAAAGAGGTCTAGGTGGGGGCAGTAGGAGACCCCTGTCCCCTTAAGGCACCTCCACCAACCCCAGAACCTCCTCAGGGGCTGGGGGTGGGAGGCCTGCCTTCTTGTCCCCTATGACTCTTCCCATTGCCTCCAGTGCCTCTCACCTGATCAGGTGCCTTCCTGGTTCTGTCCTCCTCATACCTTGAGTCCCTCCCTTTGGGACCTTCCTCTCCCATGTCACTGTCCTCTCCCCTTTCCATTTGCTGGCCTCCTCCTTCACTCAGCCATTCCGCAATGCCCACGGTCTCCTCATGCACTTCCCCACTCCCTCCTCTTCGGTTCCCTCCCTCTGCCCCTCCCCCAACCCCTTCACCTGAGGGTCCCCGAAGTAAATCTGCATGACGAGCGCCACAGTGACACCCGTGGCAAAAGTGAGGCAGGCCGTGACGATGACCGTGAGCCCGTCTTGGCGGCAGGAGCACTCAGCCGCTGCCGCGGAGAACGGGTCCTTGCGTGTCTCCCGCAGCGGCGACCCGTCCTGGCTGCCCATCTCCGACGACGTGGAAGGCAGCCGCTGCAGCCGCGCAGACTTCAGGAAGGAGTCCGGGTCTGCGGGGCGGCAGCCGGGTAGGTCTGGGCACTTCTTACCCGGCCCTGCCCGCCCTCCAGGCGGAGCTATTCTGTGTGCCCCTCTCCCCGCCCCTGTCAAGCAAACCCCACTAGACGGCACTGCTCACCCTTTAGCGTCTCCCCAATACACCCCTGAAGGGGGAATCGTCGTCCTGGCTGGAAAGACAAGGACCCCCAGGTAGGCAGCAGGAGGCTGGATGTCTAGCCCCTAGGTGAAACTTCCTGAGACCCATAATCCACCTAGAGACCTGGGACCCAGGACCCAGGACCCAGTGCAAAGAATACTTCCTGGAGTGCAAGAGGTTTGTGTCCTCCCTGGAAACCAGATCCTGCCCCAGCTGGGGCCAGCCTTCTGTGCAAGGAGGTAGCTACATAAACTGAATGGACAGGCAGGCCCTGGCTTCCAACCTTGCTTGGCTTATCCATTCACTCATTCAACAAATATGGAGGGCCTGCGATGGGTCTGGCCCTCTGCTAGATATAGGGAAAAGGAATAGACAGTTTCTGCCCTCATGGAGTTCACAGGCCAGTGGGAGAAAAGAAAATAAACAAGTAAACGAAAGAATATATCATCACAACTTGTGGCAAGTGCTATGAAGGATGACATGATGAGAATAATGGTGTGCCTTCTGGGTTGCTTAGCTGGGGAAATCAGGCAAGGCCTCTCAGTGGAGGTGACTTTTAAGATGAGAACTAAAGGATAAGAAGGAGTTAGCCATCATATGTAGAGCAAAGGATAAGTGTGTAGAGTGTTCCAGAAAGAAGGAGCAGCAGGCCACAAAGGCCCTAAGGTAGAATAAGCTTGGTATGTTAGAAAAAAAATAACCAAGGCCTGAGTGGCTCTGACATGGTGAGCAAGAGGAAGGAGTGGTATGGTGGAGGCTAGGCCAGGTGCACTGGGTCTTGTGGGCTTGTATTTACTCCTAAGAACCACAGGAGGCCATTGCAGAGTTTTAAGCAAGAACCTGGAGCCATCTGTTTTGTGTTTTAAAAAGATTCCTCTGGCTGCTATCTGGAGAATGAATCTGAGGACAGTAAGAGTGGAGCAAGCTACTACTTGCTGGCTGACTATGAGCAAGTCACTTCAAGCCACAAGCCTCACTTTTCTGATCCTAATAATGAAGCTAATCCCTACTGGCCAAAATGGATATAAGGATTCCTTGAGATGATTCTACAAGGCACCTTCTAGTTACTTCTATCCCTTTTCCACCAGGGCTGAGGCCCTCTTCCATCCCACAATTTTCCTCCTCTGGGTTATGTTAGCCTTGAAATCTGTTCTCTAAATAGCCTAAAGGTCCTGGGTGTTTCTGAACAGTTAAGAAAGGAACTGATGCCTTGACCTTAATACCCTTGGCTGTATGTACAATGTGTTTTAAGAAGTTAATTCATTCAATAAATATTTTTTGAGCACCTCCTACTATATACGAAGAGGATAACCCCTTTAAAAATCTGTGGGATAATATTGAAAATTGAGTGTTATATTTTCCTGTTTAAAATACTATCATGGTTCATCAGTGCCAACATGATGAAAATCCAAGCTCTTTGCTGGCATTCAAGGTCCTTCAAAATCTGCACTCTTCTTTATAAAAATGAAACCACATACATATATAGATAGTTTTTAGAAAACATGTATAGTGGTTACTTCTGGGGAAAGATACTGAAGGAAGGAATGAGACGGGGTGGGAGAATTTGTTTGAAATTTTTATTACATATATATATTTTCTAATCAATACATATAAATATTTTTTTAAGATTTTATTTTTTAAGTAATCTCCACACCCAACGTGGGACTCATACAACCTTGAGATCAAGAGTCACATGCTCCACTGACGGAGCCAGCCAGGCACCCCTAAATCAATACATATATTGTTATTGTTGTTTTTTAATTAAAATATTTTTCTTTTCTTTTTTTTTTAAATTTTTTTTTTAATGTTTTATTTATTTCTAGGAGAGAGAGAGACAGCGTGAGCAGGGGAGGGTCAGAGAGAGAGGGAGTCACAGACTGAAGCAGGCTCCAGGCTCTGAGCTGGCAGTCAGCACAGAGCCCGACATGGGGCTTGAACCCACGAACCGCGAGATCATGACCTAAGCGAAAGTCGGACGCTTAACTGACTAAGCCACCCAGGCGCCCCTAAAATATTTTTCTTTTAAAGTTTATTTTTATTTATTTGAGAAAGACATAGAGAGCATGCGGGGCAGGGGGTGAGAGAAAAGGAAAGAAAGAATCCCAAGCAGGGTCTGTGCTGTCAGCATAGAGCCTGAAAATTTTTTTTCTTTTAGAGCGAGAGAGAGAGCACACACACCCGTGAGCTGGAGAGAGAGAGACAAAGGAAGAGAGAGAGAGAGAGAGAGAGAGAGAGATAAGTAGGCTCCATGCTCGGCAAGAAGCCCAGTTTGGGGTTTGATCCCAAGACCCTGGGATCATGACCTGAGCTGAAATCAAGAGTTGGATGCTGGGGGCCCCTGGGTGGCTCAGTCGGTTAAGCATCCGACTTCAGCTCAGGTCATGATCTCACAGTTCGTGGGTTTGAGCCCCACATCGGGCTCTGGGCTGACAGCTACCTCAGAGCCTGGAGCCTGTTTCAGATTCTGTGTCTCCCTCTCTCTCTGACCCTTCCCTGCTCATGCTGTCTGTCTGTCTGTCTGTCTCTCTCTCTCTCAGAAATAAATAAAAAACATTAAAAAAAAAAAAAGAGTTGGATGCTCAACTAACTGAATCACCCAGGTGCCCCTATATATTTTTAAATAAAAAGAAAAAATTGTGGGCAGTTAGGAATAGAGAAGAAAATTTTTACTATTCTTTACTTTTTTTTTTTTTACCATAAACATGTAATTTGTTTTACCTTTTTTATTTAAAAAAAGAAACTTGCCTTTGGAAGCCTCCCTTAGCTGATCATGCTTGCCTCTACTCCACAGCACTAGCACCACATAGTCTTTAAATAAAACTGGAATTCATTCAATAAACAGATGTTAAATACCTACTGTGGGCACAGAACTCTCCTTGGTCCCTGGAGGTTTCAAAAGAAGTGCAGGAAATGGTTTTGAATTTATATTTATTGATGCTGACTATATTCCAAGCACTTTATATACATTCCCTCACTGAAACATTCCCATAACTATGAGATAGGCCTACTCTCTCCATTTTGCAGATGAAGAAACTTGGGACTGGAAAAGATGATGTTGCCCACTTAAGGTCATAAAATGAATAAATAGCAGAAGCAGGAATAACTCAAAACCTCCTTTCCATTGCTCCACAAGGCAGGAGTCATTTTCACACTCAAAAAGCCAACCTTATAAGCTAATTCTAGTTGATACTTGTCCTTAAACTGTTTTCTCCAATCAGCTATGAGGGACCAGGAGGTGAAGAGTTTCATTAGAGTTGGATCTATGTAAGACTTTTTATTCCACCAATCATTAAGTTATTCATTTATTCAACAAAAATATTTACTGAATACCCTACTGTGTAAGCACTAGGGCAATAAAACCATCGATTTAACTGATATGTAAGAGCAACCGCAGGATACTGGGGAAAGGTTAGTTTGGAATCAGAAGGCACAAGCCTTTTGGGAGAAAGATGGAGTTTAATTTTGGTGATTCTGAATTTGTAGGACATTAGCGGCTGTCTGGAGGCAACTGGCCTAGTAGGCATCTGATTTTTATCTGCTTAGCTGTCATTTCCATTCAATTCTCTTTTAGAAAATACCATCTCCTCTCTCTCCTTCCTCATTTTCTCATTCCTGACCAGAGTGAGTATGTGACCTAGGCCTAGCCCATCAGAACAGGTACCTCTATACAGTAACAGTTTCAGGGACAGGCATGTGACCAGCACCAGCTCAATGAGACTAAAACTTTGTTCTATTGCTGGAACCATTGGGAAAGGGGAAGGCTTTCTTTCTGCCTAGATTGCTAAGATAGTAAGCATAATAAACCTGTTGCTGCTGGGGGGCATGTTACCCCACAATATGAAAGGGGACTCTGAAGATGAAGCCCATGAAAAGTAAGACAAAGCAAAAGATGAAAGCCAATTCCTTTTTAGGTGCCGTGATCCAGCTATGTCTGATGCCCCATATCCCTGAATTTTTCAGTTATGCTACCAAATAAAATTCTCTTTTAAGATTAGCTCCATTTTGGCTGAGTGTATGACAAAAGAATCCTGAACAGAGTTGAGCTGGCAAGTCTAGAGCTCAGGAAACAGATCTTGGCTAGAAACATAGGTCATCCCTGGCTTGCTTATTCCTTAAGGGAAGAATCATTAAAGATTTTTGAACCAAGGAATGACATGACCAGAAGTTCAGGGTACTAAGTGGTTTGGGGTTGGGAGGCAGATAGTAGCTAGAAGCCTATGGGTAATACAAGTAAGACAGGATTTTGGCTTAGTCTACAGTGTGGTAGCAGGATGATGAGATGGAATCTGCAAGATACTTAGGAGGACAAGAGAGCATCTGAACACCATTTGGAAGTAAGAGGAAGGAAAGAAATCATGGGTAGCTCCTGGGCTTCTACCGTGGGGACTGGATGAATGGCAGTGTCACTAATTGAGAATCACATTGCGGGAACGGCAGGTATGGCAAAGAGATGATAAATTCAACATAGATCATACTGAAAGTAAAGCACTTGCAGGACATCTAGAGGCAGATGCCTGTGACAGAGAGGAACACATGGGCCTGGAGCTCAGGAGAGAGTCAAGAATTTCCCCAACCTTGGAGTGGTTACCATTTAGCTCTATTTTCTACAGGGTCAGTTGTAGGGTACCTGGCACTTGGTTCCGGGGAGTGACAGGCTAGAGGCTAGCTGGGCACAACCAAAATCCTGGATAAGAGGATGGGGCAGTGCCAGTAAGTGGCACTACCAGGTTAAGAACATAGGAGATCATGTTAGCTAACAGGCTAGTCCAGCTGGCCAAAGAAGCCTCGGGGCCTAGAAGTAGTGCTCCAAGACATAGCATTGAAATGACTACATAGGTATGATGGTAAGAGTCCTTGGAACTTTAGTGTACAAGTGTGACATAAGGTACAGATTCCCAGAAATTCAGGTGACAAAGGTCTCTGTTGGATTTTTGTATAGCTGAGGGAAGAATCTATATTAACTCCCCAAGGTACTCCCTCCCCTGCTAGTTGTTCATCCTGAGATCTCTTTTATTCATTTATTCATTCAACAATTCTTATTGAGTGCTTAGCACTGTGATGGACGGTGGAGAAAGGATGGTGAACAAAACAATCACAGTCCCATCCTCATAGGGCTTACAAACATGGAGTAATCACATGACTGGTCGAATAATCACAGGTTTGATAAATGCTAAGACATTTATAGGGAGCCAGGAGAAAACATGTCAGGGTTTTTCCAATCTCTGGGTTAAGAGAGATAGGCATTCCCAGTTGAGCTAGAAGAGGAAACTAAGACCCAGGCCAGGGAAGGGCTGCCCATTGTCATACAGAATCAAGGCAGTGCTGGGGTCAGAATGGCACTCTTGACCCCTGAATAAAGGACAGGGTTTCAGGCTGCAATCCACTAGGACACAACTTCCCATTACTCTCCCTGTTACCTCCTGATACCAGGGTTACTCCTTCTGTAAAAGAAGTTTTGATCTGCAGCTTGGACATGTGATGTCCTCCTCTGCCTTCCCTACTCCTCCCTCCAGGTAGGGTACAGTCTAGTTAGATTGGCAGGGGCTGCTAGTAAAGGCCAGATGACTGGGAACTTGTGGAGCGGGAAAGAGTTTGGGGCTGTCAGGCTGGGAATAGCTACAGAAGGGCCGGGCTGGAGAAGGCTGGGTCAGGGAAGCAGGATCTGCCAGGCTCGTAAGGGAGAGGGCTCAAGTGCAGGCCCTGAGAGGAAGAGAGAGTTAAGCAGAAGGATGCTCTAATGCCAGGAAGTGACGTTGGAGGAAAGAAGGATGGAGGATGGAGGATGAAGAATGGAGAGGAAGATAGAGCTGGGCCACATGGATAGGAGGGAGAGCCCTAGGGAAGAAATGCTCAGAGACCTAATGGCCCTCAGGTCTCCCCCCTCCCTACTCTGGCCCCTTGCAGTCCCTGCAGAGGGCCAAGAACACAGTAAAATTCTGGAGCCTGCTTCCTAGGGGGCAGGGTACCTTACTAACATCCTGGCCTGATCCATGGCTCCGGGAGGGGTGAGGTAGTCCACAGGGCAGAGAAGGCACTCTGGTCTCCAAGGACTCTGAGAGGTCATGCGGTCCATCCCCCTGTCTCCCAATACTTAGCTCTCACAAACAGACGGGAATCATACCCTCTTTCCCCCTCCCGGGACATGAAGAGATTCTCAGCTTCTCCCTAAGGTCTCTCCTTCCCACAATCCTTAGCTGTGGGGAAGTTCTTCCCAAGACCTAGCCTCTACCGATCCTGCTGCAGTCTGTTCTCTGTGACTAGAGAACGGCCTCTTCTGGGTGATCACGGCTGTTTCTTAGCATCCTCCCTCCAACATTCCTTCCTTATTAGTTGGTTCTTCCCAAGAGGTAACCCCAATCCCTGCTACTGCAGTCCCTAGCATCATTCTTCCTTGTCGCATCCTAAGCCTCCAAAGCAAAAATGCATCTCCAACCTCACTAGATAACTAACAGAGACAGGGAGAAGGGAGAGGTCCAGGAGGAAGGGGATGAATTAGGGAGATGGAGACTGGAGGTGATGCTCCGCGCAGATGAAGGAGGACCGGGGACGTCCCCAGGGGGCAGGGACCCGGCCAGCGGGCCTCACCGGTATCGGGGTCTCCCAGGAAGGCGTCCTCGTCCTTGCGGCCCCTCAGAGGGGCCGCGGGCGCCGGCTCGTCCTCCGGCAGCCTCGGGAAGCTGGTGATGCTCATGTAGTCCACGGGCGAGTAAGCGCCCAGGGCGCTCTCCTGACTAGCCTCGTTCTCCGCCGCCATCCTCGCCCGCGCCCCCCAGCAGCGCAGCGACTGCCGGAAGTGGTTCGGCGGGGGCGAGGGGGGCGGGCGAGGGCGGGGCCTGAGCTCTAGGGCAGCCAGGAGGGGGCGCCTCACCACAACCCCCGCGGGCAATCGAGGTCTGACTGCACACCCCTCCTCCACCTAGCTCTGTCAGCCTGTAGTCGACCTGCATGCAAGTGGGCAGTGTGGGTGTGGATGGGGAGCCTAGAGGGTGGATCTTGAAGAGCACGCGGGGGATGGAGGGGGAGAAGCGCGCTGTAAGCGCGACCAGAGAGGTTTGGGACACCTTACGCAGCCCTGGGGCCAAACCCTTCCTCCTTTCAGTTTGAGCTAGAATCCTTCTCAGACCCCAGACTCCTCCCCCGACCCCAGACCCCTCTTTCAAGAGACTCCGCCTTCACACGCACCTTCAGTCCCACCCTATGCTTCATCCTCAGACTGTTCTTCACTTTGAGACACCTCCTTGGATGTCTCTCCTGGGACATCAGATCTCTCCCCGGACCCCCAACACTTCTCAGATTCCTCTTCCAATCAACCCTTCTGGGGCCCCATACCTATGCATAGGACAGGTAGTCCAAACTTGAGTGTGTGCTGGGATGTTTAAAAGCAGATCCCCAGATTACACTCTAGAGATCATGAGTATAGGCTAGGATGGGAGTCTCTGGAATCTAAATATTTACCATCATTTTAAGAATTTTTGATGTGGTTCCAGAAAGGACACTTGGAGAGAGAAGTAATGGTGGTGGTGTGGCAGGAGTGGGGTAGAGTTGAGGGGGAGGGATAAATGGGAGAGGAATGGGTCTCTGTAGTCTAGGTGTCTGCGCTGTGGGGACCACATATAAACCATGTCATCTTAGGCAAGACATTTAATCTCACTGAGTATCAGTTTCCTCATCTGCAAAATAGAATAATAGTATTCATCTCAAATGGCTGTGAAGATTAAATAACATGTTGGAAAGTGCTCAGTATAGAACATGGCACTTAATAAATATCATAACTATGATTACTGTTATTATTTCCTTAATTTCATGAATTCTCATCCTGTCCAACCCAATCCATCCTCTTCCTACCCTGAGGAATTCCGACTACACTATAGTTTGCATTACTACCCCATCTCTAAGGATGGGTGGGGGCTCTCTTTCTTATGAGGCCTCTGGCCCAAACTTCCATTGCACAGTCCCCAGGCAAGAGGGAGGTGGCTGGTGAAGTCCCTGGGGACACATCCTCTGCTTCCCCAACCATTTGAAAAACTATCGGCCCAGCAGCTGCAGTGCCATATGTAGACAGCAGGGGACATCAGTGTATTGAGAACAGCTTTAAGACTTGGGAGAAGGGCTTGGGGAGAAAAGAGAGCTGGGTGCTGAGGAGGGAGGGAGGGGAAGAGATGACTGCCTATACTAGGAATGTGTGCCCACTACATGTGCCTTCTTCCCTACAGAAAGGTTTGTATCTCCTCAGTGCCGTCTGTAGGGCTCATGATGCTTCAGGGAAGTCTGATCCCCCCCTGTAGTCTCCACTAAGTGAGGCCTGTGATCCCTTAGTAGTGTATTTCCTCGGTGTTGTGAGAGGCCCCATAGTGGGGTTTAAGTCTTCTCACTGGAGTCTATGTCCCTTTAGTAAAACCTATTATCTTCTCTATCTCCTAGGAGGAAGTCCATGTCCCCTCAATAGAATCAGAGAACTTCAATGCCTTTTATGTCATATTAGCAGGGTCCACAGCCCTTCAGTGAGATCTCAGATCCTTCAGCAAGATCTGTGCTCCCTTAATGGAGTACCTTCAGTAAAGTGTGGGTCTCTTCAGTGCAGTTAATGCCTTCTCGATGAAGTATCTGTCTCTTCAGTGGGGTCCATGTCCACCCCATGAAGTTTGTATCCCTTCAGGGAGCCTTGAGACTTTCACTTTAGGATTGAATAGGCTCTGGATCATAGGTCTGGCAGTGGGAAGTTTTTGTTTTTTCAGTTTAGGGTGTGTTGGGCTTGTGGTTAGCCTGACAAGAACAAAGGAGAAGGTGGGAAGATGGTCTGGGCCTAATGGGGTCACAAGCCCTGTGTAGGCTTCAGGGGGTGGGGGCTGGCTGCTTTGACCCTCAGAATTACCCTTGGAGTTAGATATCTAAGGATCCTTCCTACTTTGACAGTTATTCCGTGAACTGATGGGTGGAGAGGGCCCTTCGTGGTGGTGGGTACAGGTGGGAGATAGAGGGTCCTGTTTGGCCTCTCCTTTCTGGAGCAGAAGGGATGGAGGGAAGCCAGAGGTAATTGAGCCCAGTTGTGGCAGGTAGGAGGGGTTTCTTAGTGAAGTGAAGAGATTGGGAAGGAAAGAAGGGTGATTTTTCCTATTTTGCATAGGCCTTAGTATTTTACAAGCATTACCTTCAGCCTGATGAGGGGAGTCAGGAGGCCTAGGTTTGGCCCTAACCTGGTTGTTTTCTCTGTGACCTTGCACAAATTCTTTCCTTTCCCTGAGTTTACCATTTGTGTAATGAGGAGGTGGGTTTATTAGCAAATACCTGAAGGCACCTCCTAGTCTTCACTTGAGTCTTGTACTTGAGATCTGGATGGGAATTTGTGGAGGCAGGGAGATTGAAGGCATATCTTCAGAGGTGGGAGAAAAATCTGAGCCGGCCCCAAGGTTAGCAGAGAGGGCACCCTGTCCTCAGGCCGTGCCCTCAACGTCGTCGTGGAAGGTTTTCCTGGGGACAGAGGGGAGGGGTTTACTCAGAACTGGGGAATAGTTCTCAGAAGGGAAAAGTGCCACCCGGAAAGGACCCTAGTCCACCTAGCTTTCGAAATCGGTGGAGTGACAGGCTTGTGCAATCAGATCACGGGGCTGCTCCATTATGGGCCAGATCCAACTCCTCTCTGTTGCCCAGCTCTTTCCTGCTCAATCCCCGCCCTAACCAAACTTCTCATCTATCACTCCAAGACCCCACCCCACTATTGTCACTCCATGCTTCAGCCTCCTCTCCTGTCACATCCAGGCTCGCCACTCCCTGTCACTCCATGACAGGAGAAGGCCCACCTCATCTACTGTCACGCCTGGCCCCTCCCCTCCTCTGTCACTCCGAGATGCCAACCTCTCTTGTCACGCCCGGCCCTCCCCTTCAGCTCTTCCCCTATGGCCCCACCCCTTCCGCAGTCAGCTCCGCCTCTACCTCCAAGCAATACTCGTCTTTCCCCAGTTCGTGTCATTGCTAACACATGTTCCACCCCTACCGAGCGTGGCTCCGCCTCTTCGGGTCGCCACGCCTCCGCCCGCCTGGCCTCTCCTCCTCCCATAAGGCCCCGCCCCTGGGCCAGCCTGTTTTCCTCTCCTGGGCGCGAGAAGCAACGGCAAAGGCTCCTACAACGCTCGGAACTTGACGCTATGGGGCTTCCGGAGGAGCGGGGCAGGACTGGGAGCCGGGAGCAGGAGGAAGCTGGAGCCCAGAGCCGAGTGCAGAGTTGGTCTCCGCCGCCCGAGGTCACCCGTTCCGCGCACGTTCCCTCGCTGCAGCGCTACCGCGAGCTGCACCGGCGCTCTGTAGAGGAGCCGCGAGGTGAGGCCGGGCCCGGGCGGTCCTGGGTGGGGTCAGTGAGGAGAGAAGGGGGTTTCCAGAAGAGTGAGAAATCGGACGCGAGGCGTGGGGAACGGGGGTTACGTGAGGAGGTTGGGGTTCCCTGACGGAGTTGGGTTTTCCCTTGGGAGGTTGAAGGGTCCATGAATCTTTGAGGAGATGGTAAAGAAGTTCCGGGAGGATCTGGGAGTTCTGTGCGGAGGAGGGTTCTGTGAGGAGAGTTCTGTGAGGAGATGAGGGTTCTCTAGGAGTTGGGGAGTTCCTTGGAGACTTGGGGATTTTGTGAGGAGATGGGGCTTCCTTGAGGAGAGTGAAAGTTTGAAAAGGAGGAGAGTTCCTACGGTGAAAAGACGGGTTCTCAGAGGAGAAGAGGAACCTCGAGGGGAGGAGAGCCGCAGAATTTTCTTTGCTCCCTTTCACGCCAACTCAGCCTTTGCCTCCTGACACCTTTACCCTGTGACTTAGTCTCCACAGTGGTCAGTAACGGGTCTGGTTCCCGTCCGGGAGGTCCCCCACATTAGTAACGGAGTCCCGGGTCTCGTTTTCATATTTCATCAATTCCAGTGGAAATTATGCAATGTAAGAGTGAACAAGTCACCAAAATGCAGTTTAAAAAAAGAAAACGGGCAGGGATTGTAGTAACTCAGAAATTCTGATAGAAAGTCCCATGTCTTTAAGAATGTATAAGGAACATACTTTGCCCTTGCCCTTAGTCCGGGTAAGGGGTCAGAACTGTACCTGTGTTCGGAGGCAGCATTATGTTTGGCATTGGGGTAAGCATGGACAATGAATCAAACCACCCCCAAATCTACCATTCATTCACTGTGAGGTCTTAAGCAGAGTTTAAAACCTAAGATTCCCTTTCCTTATCTGTAAGATACGGATAACAATACTTGCCTTCTAGGTTTGTTTGAGGTCTAAGACAGTTGATTAAGTGTGCAGGATAGAGTGTCTGAAGCACAGTAGGCATTCAGTAAATGGTGGTTAGTTTGATAACCAAAAGAACAACGTGGACCAAGGGATTACTGAGTAATGTAAGACAGGATTGAATCAGGCGTGGGTAGAGTGGTTGATTGCTACACAGGCAGTGTTCAAGTTTGAATCCTCAGACCTCTTTTCACTTCTCTTCGTTCTCTATATTTCCCCCCCATCATGAGTTCATCTGTTTTCCATCTAGTTCCACAAAAATAACTTCTATATATTTAGCCCTGTGCCCAGGATCCCACTTATGCTCTGGTCTGAAATTTTATAGGTCTGTAGACCATTTTATTCTCATACCTTGATGTTATACCATATTTAACATGACTGTGCCTGGGATTTATCAATTTTCCCTCCCAAACCTGCGCTCCCCTTATTTTCTAATCCCTGTCAATGACACTATCCCAAATTAAATCTTTCATCATCATCTTCTCTAATAAGATCTATGTATCAACTATAGATGGATCTTTTCTCTGTATCCCGCTTAAGATTGCTTACTGCTTACTGAGCACAAATACCTGTTTGAGGTAGACTGTTAGCCCCATTATGCAGAGAAGAAAACTGAAGTGTAGAGAGGTTAACAAACTTGCACAAGGTCATAAAGCTACATAACAGTGGATCTGGGATTTGATCTAAGATAGTCTTGACTACAGAACCTATATTCCTGATAGCTATACTCTTCCTCTTCCCTGACCCCACAGTCTGCCCTTTCACCAAATTCTGTTAAATCCTCTGTAAAATGTCTCTGCTTACCTTTTCTTCCATTCCCACAGAACCTTTTAATTCAAGGAAGCAGCCTCCTAGTTGTTTCTCCTGTCTTCTGGTCTCACCCACCTTCAATCTCTCTGACAGACTTATCTAAAATAAACACTATTAGATTAAGATTCTGGAAACATTGCTTTCATAAGTCACTTCAAAAAACTTTCAGTAGTTCCCTATTTCCTTCAATTTCATATTAAAATTCTTTTGCTCATTCAAGGCCTGGATAACTAGCTATACCTTATCTCTCTATTCTGATTTCCCATTATTTCTTACCACACCCCTTATTCTAGACCAGTCATTCTCATTGATATACTGGTTTCTCATCTCCTTGCCTTTGCCCTTTCCTTCTGCTCTTCTCTACCTAGTCAAATCCCACCAGTTCCACACAGCATTCCGTGATCATCCAGTCCATGCTCATCTTTTCCTCTTCTGAACTTTCATATTTAGAATGTATGCTAATGATGGGGTGCCTGGGTGGCTGGCTCAGTCAGTTAAGCATCTGATGCTTGATTTCAGCTCAGGTTGTGATCTCACAGTTTGTGAGTTCAAACTCTGTGATTCATTGTCAGCACTGAGCCTGCTTGAGATTTTCTGTCTCCCTTTCTCTCCGCCCCCCCAAATAAATAAACTTAAAAAAAAAAAGAATGTGTACCAATGAAACATCCATATTTCAATACCTCCACCAGAATAAAACAAACCCTTCCCAAAACAAAATTAAGTGATCATAAATCTCAGTTTTCTTTTTTTTAAGTTTATTTATTAATTTTAAGGCAGGTGGAAGAGTGGAAGAGGGAGAGCGTGAGTGGGTGAGCGAGTGCAAGTGGGGGAGAGGCACACACAGAATCTCAAACAGGCTCCACACTGTCAGCACAGAGCCCGATGCAGGGCTTGAACCCACGAACCGTGAGATCATGACCTGAACCAAAATCAAAAATCAAACGCTTAACTGACTTAGCCACCCAGGTGTCCCAAAACTCAATTTTCTACATCCTTATTGATATACATAAATGGGGTTCATAAATAATTTTATATAACCTATACCTACTATTATCACTTAAAAATATCTTTGAGTATATACATGTACTCAATGTAGTTGTAACAGATCTGATTTTGTATACTGGTTTCTAGCTGTGTGGTCTTTAGGAGAGTTTCCTATGTTTTCTGAGCTTTGTTTTTCTCATCTATAAAATTAGGATAATTAATGTATACTTCATAGGACCATATAAACATTTAGTGAGGCCTTTTGCCTTATTTTGCTGCATTGGAGAGAGCAAGGTAGATCACCAGTAGCTCTACTGGAGCCATCTGAAGAAGCTTAGCCAGGGTTTTTGTTTTTGCCACATCTGCTCGAATCGCCACAGTCTGATCTGAGAAACATTGCCTCAGTATGTGCCGCCAATGTTTCTGTCAATATGCAAAGGATAAGTTGGATTGAGTAAACTTCCTTGAATGGGTCAGCCAAGGTACCTACCTTAACTGCAGATATCCAAGATACCTACCTCAATTCTCACTCATTGTACATAAAATAAAAATACTTCAATTATGAGTGTTTTAATATGAAAAAAAAAACTCAATGAGAGGCACCTGGCTGGCTCAGTCAATAGAGCATGTGAGTCTCGATCTCAGGGTTGTGAGTTCAAGCTCCACAATGGATATAGAGATTACTTAAAAATAAAATCTTAAAAACACACACACAAAATTAGATTCAATAAGATTAGCCCGGTGCTTGGTAGAAGAATGGCATTTGCTAAAATGCCAGTTCCCATTTGCTCTCTTTTTAGTGGCCATTTAGTATGCTGGGTTTTTTTGTTTTTTTTTAATGTTTTTATTTATTTCTAGGAGAGAGAGAGAGAGAGACAGCGTGAGCAGGGGAGGGTCAGAGAGAGAGGGAGTCACAGACTGAAACAGGCTCCAGGCTCTGAGCTGGCAGTCAGCACAGAGCCCGACGCGGGGCTCAAACCCATGAACCGCGAGATCATGACCTAAGCGAAAGTCGGACGCTTAACCGACTAAGCCACCCAGGCGCCCCTAGTATGCTGTATTATTACTACTAGTATTACTCGTTTTTATCAGCTTTTTTTTTTTTTTAATTGTTATGCTCTTGGGTTGTTTCCAGTTTCACTGTTATAATTAGTATTACTACAAACTGCTTTTTAGCAATCACTGTTTTCTTCCTTTGGAATTTTTTCTTGTAGTGTTCCCCAAACTTGAGTTAGCAGATGTTGAAAAGGTATAAAAATTTTTATGGCTCTGTCAGTCATTTTCCTGGTATGCAGTAAGACTGTGACAATTTCTTACAATGCCATTATCATATAAGAGTGTCTTTTTTGCAGTGCCTTTCTGGCATTGGGTTTATTATTTTTTTAATTATTGCGAGTTTTATAGGTATATAATGGTACCCTGGGATTGATTTAATTTGGATTTGTTGAATTGACTGCAAGTTGTACACCATATGATTTAGCTTTCACCTATTCTGTTTTGCACAGGTAACAGTATTTCATGTGTTAGTCTTATCTTTCCAACTAGATTATATAAACTGAATCACATAACTTTGAGCAAATCACTTTACCTCTGTGAATTTGGTTTGTTATTAGTGAAATGGGGGATAATAATCTCTAAAGTTCCTTTCAGTGTTATGGTTCTGAGTGTGTCTCTTCGTTCTAGCTCCTCACCCTGTATTGACAATATCCTAAGTGCTCTGCCATTACATGTTTTACCTGTTGAATACATTTTCTATGGAGTAGCAAGTGAATATTTTAAGATTATTAATCTGTTCATGTCCCTCTCCTTAAAATCCTACAATGGCTTTTCATTCTTCTTTAGGATAAATGTCAAATTCCTTATTATGCCCAGAAGGATTGCATGATTTGCCCAGTTTATGAATCAATTTCTGCTATTCTTTCTCTTACTCTCAGTGCTTCAGCCTCAGGGAGTTCTTCCTAACATATACCCTTGGTTCCTTCCTATCTCATGGCACTGTTTCCTGGTAGGGAAGTGAAGAAAACCTCCTGTTCCCTGTTAGATTTTAGCAAAAATGTCTTTCTCAGGGCAGTTCACATCTTGACTTAGTAACTATATAACCTAGGGTAAGTTATTTAACTTCTCTGAGCCTTGATTTTCATTTTTTTTCTTTTCAAATTTTTATTTAAATTCTAGCTAGTTAACATACAGTGCAATATTGGTTTCAAGAGTATAATTCAGTGATTCATTAGTTACATACAAAATCCAATGCTCATCCTAACAAGTACCTTCCTTCATACCCAACATCCATTTAGCCCACCCCCCACCCACATCCCTCCGTCAACCCTCAGTTCATTCTCTATCAATAAGGGTCTCTTATGGTTTGTTTCCCTCTCTCTTTTTTCCCCCTGCATATGTTCACCTGTTTTGTTTCTTAAATTCCACATGAGTGAAATCATATGGTATTTGTCTTTCTCTGATCGAGTTATTTCACTTAGCATAATACACTCTAGTTCCATGCACATCGTTGCAAATGGCAAGATATCATTATTTCTGATGGCTGAGTAATATTCCATTTATATATGGAATATATTCCATTATGTATTGTGTATATATACCACATCTTTTTATACATCATCAATTGGTGGATATTTGGTAACGCTTGATTTTCAAATCAATAAAATGAGAATGAAAACAAGGCCTACCTCTTACATTGGTGGTAGATACTAAATAAGATAATACATATAAAGAACTTAAAGCAACATCTGGCTCATAGCAAGGAACACTTGGGCAAGATGTAATAGGAGAAAGAAATACTCATTAAATAATTGCTGAAAGTGTATGAATGAACAAATTAGGAAAAAGAGATATGGAAGGTTCTGTGGGTAAAGGATTTCTTCCTTTCACTACTTAATTTGTTAAACAAATTACATTTAACTACAATGCGCTAGGGATTTTGATAGGCACTGTGTGGCTGTGATTTGAATAGATGATGTAAAATGGAGTGGCAGTTTTGAGGAGAGAAGGAAGAAATTTGAGTCAGAATTTAGCTCATGGGAATAGAAGGTGGGTTAGGAAAGTAATAGGTGATAAAGATTGGACAGGTAGAGGAGGGACCTTGTTGGTGGATCCTAGAGTATAGGGCAGAGAAGTTGTGACTTGTTTCTGTCATAGACTGGTAAGCCATCTGAGGATAAATATGTCTGAGAATATTGGTGATGTCTGGGTCTTCCTTTCTGTTGCAGAGTTTTGGGGAGACATTGCCAAGGAATTTTACTGGAAGACCTCATGTCCTGGCCCATTCCTCCAGTACAATTTTGATGTGACTAAAGGAAAAATCTTCATCGAGTGGATGAAAGGAGCAACTACCAACATCTGCTACAACGTACTGGATCGAATTGTCCATGAGAAAAAACTTGGCGATAAAATTGCTTTTTACTGGTAAAAACATCTATCTTAAAGCCTGTGACAGATAAAAAGTCACTCCTCAAATTCATATAGTGTTTCATAGTTTACAAAGTACTTTGAAATCTGTTAATTCATTTGATGCTTGCAACAACCTAGGAGAGTAAGTATTGTTAATTTAATCTCAGATGAGGAAAAATACCTCAAGTAAGTGAAATGACTTCCCTGAAATCACATAACTAGTATGTAACTGAACGGAGCCGTGTCCTGAATTCTAGTCTAGTATTCTTGGCTTGTAATTGAAGAGGAAAGGGGGAGAGGGTAAATGGAAGTGAATAGGATTGAGTAGCATTCTTTCTTATTTTGCTTTGGGAAGAAAATATGGGTATTGGAATTTTCACTACCATTGTTGTTGTCATTATCTTTGAATGAGCTATAGTACCTGTTGGTTCAGAGTCCTTCCCAGAGTTTCCCAGGTGTAATTTGAAAGCAGTCCCCATAGGCAGAGGGCAAGGAGAGACTGAAGAAAGAGGCAGGCCGTTCCAGGTTGGTAGGTGGCAGTTTTAATAAGCAAAGAGAATTTACATGCAAGGCTTGTCTTGGGGAGCAGCAAGACAACGGATCACTACACTTGCCCTCCAAATCTTAAAAGTTTGTAGAGGTCCTTAGTAGGCTCAGTACCATGCAGGTGTTTTCAATTCTACATCATCACATCTCAAGGCTATGTCCCTGGAGTAGCCTGGGGGAGCAGGAAAGGCAAGTGGAACCCATATTCCAAGGACTTGGGAGGGGGTAAGAAGGCTTCCAATGCTGAGGTCCAGCTTATGGGTCAGTCAGGTAAATCAGAGGTCACACCTTTTTTATGATGTTCCCCAGAAGTGTCAGACACTGTGCCCAAGTGCTTAACAAATTATCTCACTTGATGCTGACAATCAAGAATGCACTGTGTTGCTCATTTTACATATGGGAAAACTGAAATTCTGAGATTTGAAGTGACTTACCTGAAGTAAGAAGTAGGACTGAGATTCAAACCCAGGTAGGACAGTTAGAGAGTTTATACTCATAACCATGACGCTATGCTATTCTTCTAATTCTTTACATTAGTTTTTTTAGCAGCTTTGTGATATAGGTGAAGAAGTGAAGCACAGAGGGTTATATAGTGAATAAAGTCATAGGGTAAGTAAGTGGTAGAGCCAGGACTCAAACTCAAGTCTGATTCCTTGCTGGTAACACTAGGTCATGCTGCCTCCCCAGTGGGAACTTTTTAAGACCCCCTTCCTTCCAGCAACATAGCTTATAGGTGGTATTACTACAGTGAACCCAAATAGGGCCTTAAATTTCCAGTAATTGGGGTGGGGTGTTGTTTCTGCCACCACCATGAGCACTTTGAGAATGTATATATATATTTTTTTTAATGTTTTTTTAATTTATTTTTGAGAGTCAGAGAGAGACAGTGCAAGCAGGGGAGGGTCAGTGAGAGAGGGAGATACAGAATCCGAAGACAGGCTCTAGGCTCTGAGCTAGCTGTTAGCACAGAGCCCAAGGCAGGGCTCGAGCCTATGAACCGTGAGATCATGACTTGAGCCGAAATCGGATGCTTAACTGACTGAGCCACCCAGGTGCCCTGAGAATTTATTCTTTTTGAGTGAGTCAGTAGGAGTAGTTTGGATGTTTCATGGAAGAGTTAACTGGTATTCAGTCAAAATTTGCCCAGTTTGTGTGATATATTGATAAAAGCCCTAATGCCTTAAAATGAGCCCAACTCTGCCATTCACTTGCTGTATAACCACAAACAAGGGATTTAATTCTGTGAGAGCCCATTTCCTTTTCCATAAAATGAGGATCATAATTCTACCCTGTCTTTCTCATTAGATTGTTATGAGAATCAAGTGAGATGATGTTCTAAAAGCATTTATTTATTTATTGGAAAAGACTGTACAAATATGAATGGTCTATTCACATTGCCATTGCTCAATTTAGGGTTACTTTGCCACTGAAACTCAGTCTTGTATGTCCATTGAGACTTCCTTTAGCTTCTGTCCTTGGACTTTATGGCTTGAGCTCCGTCTGACACTTGGGTTCACCTCCTGGGTTCCTTCGGGATCAGAAAATCTTTAAAGGTCTGTAAAGGAGAAGCTTGTGTCTGATGTTGTTCCCTGGTTTGAAGTAATTCAAGTGCATGATGAAAGACTGAGAAAACTTAGGCCAGAGTTGTTCAGTCACTAGAGATTGCTCCAGAATCCTGAAACTCTTCTTTCTGGTTCTCCTGCCATCCAGACCTGAGCAGGCTCCAGAGAGTCTCTCTTTATCTATTTGTAAAATGAGAGGAGTTGACTACATCAGTGTTTTCCAAAGAATGCTCCAGAAGCCATTCATTACTAGAGATATTAGCAGGGGCTTAATTCATGAAACAAATGAGTCTGAGAAACACTATATAATAAATTACCTTTCTGGGATTCCCAATGTATATTAACATAGTAAAGCCTTTAAGAACCCCTATAGTAAAGACATCTGATTAATTTTTTTGACATGGGATTACCCAAATTTATTTGAGCCCCAAACACTTTCTGCATCATGCTATTAACATTACAAGAAGCAGTATTTCATGGAACACCAATCTGGGAAACATTGGATTATTCTATAATTCTATAACAAGACATCTTCGTCCCATTTTTACATTGGTCACTCAATCAACAAGAATTTTTAAAGATATTGGATAGTCAGTCATATGTTAAGTATTATGGATATAGAGTTAGAGGAGTGGGACACAAGTAGCACATGGGCCATTATTGTTCAACTATTTTTTGTTAACAATAAAGTAAATCCAAGCTATAAATAAATCACGTTTGTTATTAAAAAAAAAAAGTAAAGTGCAGATATGCCAGATATGGTTACTTCTCTTAACACCTCCTATTTATGTATGTATGTATGTATGTATGTATTTATTTATTTATGAAGGAGAGTACAAGCAGGGGAGAGGGATAGAGAGAGAATTTCAAGCAGACTCCACACATGAGGCTCAATCTCATGACCTTAGGATCTTTTTTTTTTTTTTAATGTTTTATTTATTTCTAGGAGAGAGAGAGAGAGACAGTGTGAGCAGTGGAGGGTCAGAGAGTGAGGGAGTCACAGACTCTGAAACAGGCTCCAGGCTCTGAGCTGGCAGTCAGCACAGAGCCCGATGCGGGGCTCGAACCCACGAACCGCGAGATCATGACCTAAGCGAAAGCCGGACGCTTAACCGACTAAGCCACCCAGGCGCCCCATGACCTTGGGATCTTGATCTGAGTTGAAATCAAGAGTCAGATGCTCAGGGACGCCTGGGTGGCTCAATCATTTAAGCATACAACTCTCAATTTTGGCTCAGGTCATGAGCTCATAGTTGGTGGGATTGAGCCCTGGTATGGGCTGTGCACTGGCAGCACGGAGCCTGCTTGGGATTCTGTCTCTGTCTCTGTCTGTCTGTCTGTCTCTCTCTGCCCCTCCCCTGCTCGTGCATGCACACTCTCTCTCAAAATAAATAAACTTAAAAAAAAGTCAACGGGACATCTGGGTGGCTCAGTCTGTTAAGCGTCCGACTTCGGCTCAGGTCATGATCTTATGGTTCATGGGTTCATGCCCCATGTCGGGCTCTGTGCTGACTGGCAGCTCAGAACCTGGAGCCTATTTCAGATTCTGTATCTCACTCTGTCTCTCTCTCTCTCTCTCAGAAATAAATAAAACATTAAAAAAAAGTTTATTAAAAAAAGTCAGATGCTTAACCAACTGAGCCACCTAGGTGCCCTACCTCCATATATTTAAGTAATACGTTTATACTGCATACTTTAGAAAGTGTGACTTCCTATTATGATAGATGAGAATTTTGTTCTTGTATATTCCTCCAACTTCATTCTCTCCTCTATGTAGCTCTGTGTTTTAGTAAATTTAAAAAGAAGGTTTAACATAAGGGTAATATATTATTATTGCATTTCCTTTTTTTTTTTTTTAAGTTTATTTATTTTGAGAGAGAGAAAAAGCAAGGGGTGTGAGAGGGGCAGAAAGAGTTGGGGGGGGGGGTAGAGAGAGAGAGAATCCCAAGCAGGCTCTGTGCTGCCAGCCCAGAGCTGGATCCAGAGCTTCATCTCAGGAACTGTGAGGTCATGACCTGAGCTGAAACCAAGAGTCTGATGCCCAACCAACTGAGCCACACAGGTGCCCCTGCATTTCCTTTTATATACAGGAAGTTAAAAATTGCCTGCCATTTTTCTTGCATTATTTGCCTTTATCTTGCACTCAGTACTTTTCAAACTCTCTATCATATCATTTATTCTATGAAGTCTTCTTTTTCCCCTAAAGTCTTTTATTTTGGAGTCCACCTTCTTCCTGCTCTAATTTTTATTCATGCTTTGTGTGTGTGTGTGTGTGTGTGTGTGTGTGAGAGAGAGAGAGAGAGAGAGAACATGTGCACAGTGGGGAGGGGAAGGGCAGAGGGAGAGGGAGAGAGAGTCTTTTTAAAAACATTTTTTTTTTTGAGAGAGACAGTGTGTGCATGCACGCACGCACATGAGCAGGGGAGGGACAGAGGGAGAGGAATAGAAAGAAGGCTTTGTGCCCAGAGGAGAGCCCAACATGGGGTTTGATTTCACAACCATGAGCTTATGACCTAAACTGAAATCAAGAGTCCGATGCTTAACTGATTGAACCACCGAGGCACCCCCAATAATCCTTTTTAAAATGACATCTTTTCCATGATATTCTCCAATTGATATGCTTCATATACTTCTTATGGAGTCACAGCATGACTTTCTTTTCAACCTAAACAATGTCATTTATATAGCTCTAGTGCCATTAGCAAACCACATTTATAGCTTATTCCTTGCTTTAGGGCATGTTCTGAAATAATGCACAGAGGAAATAAAGCTCTTAGAACCATATTAAGGAAGAATTTGGCCTTTTACTTTTGGCTTGACACGTCGTAAATGTTTATGGAATAATAGTATTTTTAGAATTTGAAATGGGCACTTATTTATTTTTTAAGTTTATTTTTTATCAGAGAGAGGGAGAGAGTACAAGCACATGGGCAGGCGGGGGGGGGGG